TTTTTTTCTTTCATCATCGTTGTGTAGCGATAGTATCTTGCAATCAATGTATGGTTGATTCACTCGAGTAAATAGTGAAGAACAAGAGAAGTAATCAATCAGAAAGATTGATTCTTGTTTATCAAAATATGGTTCGGAATTCTCCAAGATTTGGTGAAATTCCACATTGAAAATTTTAGTTTAATTCCAACAGATTTAAATTGTATTTTTTCGAAAATGTGAGGTTTGAAATTATATATTTTCACGTTTATTTTAAGTTTTAAAAAATGATACCCGTGTACTTTTTTATTTTATAAAAAATCATGAATGAAAATTTAAGGGGTATTTGTTTGATGATTCAAATTATATTTTCGAAAATGTGAGGTTGAAAATTCTATGTTATTATATTTGTTTCAAGCTTTAAAAAATAATGCACCGGTACTTTTTATTACAAAAAAATATTATTTACTCATAAAATTTTAAATATTTATTCTTATGTTAAACGATAAAAATCTTTTATTTTTTTATGAGAATAATAAATAACTAACTATAACTATCCACTTCTATATTATTTAACACCTTTTTTATATTTTTAAAATTTCAAAATTATAAATAAAATTAAATTAAAAAATAATCTTAGAAACCTTAATAACTTATCTATTATTACCAAACAAATACCAAACAAATAGATGTGAATAATATACTTTGCATTAATATTTTTAGGAATAACATTTTCAAACAAAAAAGTTGCATTAAATTAATGCAATCCTAGAGCACATTTTGTACAAAAATAATGAAATAATTTTGATAAATTGCATAATGCTGTGGTTGGTATCTTTGATTTACATGAAATGAAGTAATCAATAGACACCAAAGTTGACAAGGATGAATATCTTTGAAAATTATAGTTGTTTGTCATCGCTTTCATCATTTTTCTACACTCACTAGTTGTAGTGGTTATTTTGCTTGATATCTATTGGAACATCAATCTTTTCACAAATAAAGTAACATGGTACAAAAACCCATATCTTCATGTACATGGGAGGAGATTCCCGTGAAATTCATGTGCAGTGTAATCTCATCCTTTCAATTTTTTTCAAGTACAATTAATGTATTCTTAAAAAAATCAATACTAGTAATAATGTACACTTTTTCCATCCAGTAAAATAACCACATCCCGTGTACACATTGAAGTCTAAGGAAATACTTAAAACTTAAAGTTCTTTTTTTATAAAGAAACTTCAAGGTAACTTTAATAACAACTCTCATACCAAATCTAATATATATATATATATATATATATATATATATATATATATATATATATATATATATATATATATATATATATATATATATATATATATATATATATATATATATATATATATATATATATATATATATATATATATATATATATATATATATATATATATATATATATATATATATATATATATATATATACACACACGCACTTACCAATTACATACACTTTTTAGGGGTTATTTTTATCATAAAGATTGTTTTCACACTGACCTTACGTCTAAAATATCTCTGAAATATGAGAATGTATATTTGAACGCATCTCATGTCACATACAATTTATTTGCAAGTGTGTATTATCTTATTTTTTTAATCAAAAATTGATATGGAAATCCATATCCATATCATTTACGCAAATGAACATTCGGACGAGTTTTAATCAATAAGATGTGAGACCCTCCTACGTCATCATTTTCAACATGCTCTTTCAAACTCTCAAACTCTCTAAACTCCAAGCTCTATTAACTCAAGTTTAAATTTTACTCTCAACATTCAATTAATCAAAGTGCTCCAAAAAATTCACATTTGATAAGTTTTTAAATCTAAGGTTTTCACACTTGATTTTTCTATACATGCGTTTGTAAAAATTGACTATTAGGTTGCGTAATAGATGGTTTAGATATGTAGTTCAATTGAGCAATGTGTTTGATAGGTAGTTTAAATGACAATGCATTTTGAGAATGTTGGATTTCAATGCATTTTCGTCATTTTTTTTTCGTTTTTTTAGTTGCAAGTTAATATGAAAATGCACTTACGTATTTGTTCAAAATTTGATTTTTCAAAAATACAGAAGTGCATTTCCGTATTGTTTTTGCCTGCATTCTTTAGCTTGATTGCATTGTGTTTTATCGGGGTTTGATTTTTCTACTATGTATTGATTATGTGGTTTAATTATAGCCAACATGGTTGATAGCCAAGATCGAACGAGGCTCGGCAAAGCATGCAACATGCATTGGTTCACATGGAAAAAGTATGACCCTGCCAACCATCGATTGAGTCTAGTGAGTTTGATGCGGTGACGTCAACTTCCAAGGACCATGCATCTCCGACTTCGTTTTCCTGGAGGAAGCAGTGGTGAATCCCGATACCTTGGAAGCCCCATCGGTCCAGGCTGTGGCACCTCAAGTTGAGGCATCTATTGTCGTTGCATTCGTTCCTGAGGAGTTTGGAGGAGACTCGTATGACTTATCACTGCTGCCTTTAGATGTGGACTATGCTGCCAACCATGTGTGGGAGGGAGAGGTAAAAAGTATCTGTATTTATTCTTTGGAAAAAATGTGTTATAATATTCAAACTTTTCGATGAAAATTTATTTTACTGCAGTACCGTGATGCTTTAAAATGCATCAACCATAGTTGGAAGATTGCGAGGCTGCAACAACCTGATAAGCAATGTTTCATGATCATTGCATCTATCTAGGCTATAAGATTTATGCATGACTGATTATTCTACTATTAACCATGGTATATTGTCAGTGTTCGTTGAAAGATGGAACTTTGAGACTTCATCTTTTTATCTTCCATGTGGTGAGATGTCCATCATCCTAGGAAATGTGTCATGTCTGTTGCATCTTCCAATCAGGAGAAGATTATTAGACTTCTCTAGGATTACCAGAGATTATGCATAGGAGCTGATGGTAGAGTTTTTGAGAGTTGACCCATGTGATGCTCTAAAGAAGATAAAAAAACACCCGAGGGTGTCATTCTAGATTTGGATTCTTAGAGAGCCTGTACGCACACCAGCTCACTGCGGCAGAGCATCACATGGGTCAACTCCCAAAAACTCTACCATCAGCTCCTATGCATAATCTCTGGTAATCCTAGAGTAGTCTAATAATCTTCTCCTGATTGGAAGATGTAACAGGCATGACATGGGTCAAATTATGCAGCAAAGAGCATATGCATTGAAGGCATACATGTTGTACTTGGTTGGCAGATCCATTTTTGTGGACAAGAGTGCCTATTACGTGGATCTGTTTTATCTCATATATTTCACTAACTTGAAACGAATTCATGAGTACAACTAGGGGGCGCTTGTTTGGTCTATATGTACTCCAAGTTAGTTGAAGGTTGTCTTTGGAAGACCAGAAAAATGATAGATATCTGCACATTGTTGACAATAATATATTTGTATCATTTACTGTTTATGTACCATTTTCATCACACTTGTGTTATACCATTACTAATAATTCATCTGTACCATTTTCTAGGATGGATCCTCCAGCACTTCCCATGCATGTTCGACCGATCATTTGTTGATGACTACACCGAGGATATGCCACATGCTTGTGCATTTATCTCGCTCAGAGGGAATCAATTGACCGAGCCCTTCATAGTGTATATTGATTGCACCCTAATTCTTTTCCTCCTACCATGACTTATAGAGATGTAGGTGTCATGAATGATGATTTCCTTAATCATCTGCTATCGTAGCTCCTAGTGCATGGAGTTGTGCATATGACTATGTCTAGTGGTATTTTAGAGTGCCACATCCTTATATGACACTGGATGCTATGAGAGAGCCACATAGACCAGCTCATACAGAGATATTAGAGGAGGAGCAAGTTAGGGAAAATCATGTCGTTGATGTGTTACCTACATGTCGTCCTATTATGGATTTTGTGCGCACGAGTATAAACAGAGGAGACTTTCCTAAAGGATCTTCTGAGAAGGCCATTATAGATGCCAATCATACTAAGGCACAAACAACATTAGAGTATAAGAGGTAGTGAAGAAACAAGGGGTCCGATATACGCACTAGTATTGTATTTATATTAAGGTTAGTATCATCGTTCGTAATTTATTATTTTGACTATATTATAGATTCATGATTGATCATTTATATATGGCGCACATTTTCGTCTTATTACATCAATATTTGGCTTAATTGATAAGAAATTATCATTATAATATAGTTATAATACATAATCTATTACATAATTAATACGTGAATACAATAGTGTATATCTATATTTTCAAACAATATTATGCCAAAAACGAGGATGTCTTTGTTAGAAATAAATGAAGTGCGGGTAGGGTGAATAAAAAATGTATCTTCAAATTAATTTCTAGAAAAAAAAATAGAGATGTGGCTCAATTATCCTTGAATATAGTGTGAAATAAATTAGTACGAAAATATTCTTTTAAATTTATAGGATGTTTCTCGGACACTTACGGTACGAAAGATATTTTGTTTTTACAATCAATCATAGCAACTCTTAGAACATAAAAATAATTAATTTTTTTTATAATAATTATTTTTAAATTAAGAGAAATGTTAACCAGTGCCCTCATGACACTTTTTAAAACTTTAAATAGTAAGTTATTATAAAAGTATGTGCAATGATGTGTAATAATGTGCATTGGAAATTGAAGTGTTTGAATTTTTTAAAAAATAATTTCTTAATATGAAATGTTTAAATAGTGTCATGAGGGCACTGGTTAGCGAGACCCTTAAATTAAACATACATGAATAACTCTCCATTTATATATTAAAAAGGTTTAACCATCCAAATCAACATCAAATAAACAAAATACAAATTGGCAACTAAAGGGAAGAAATTCACACTAACCCGATAAAACCTAGAGTTAAATTGATTTGAAAAATAATATAATAGAAAACACCCAAGCTAGTGATAAATTGAACATTTATTCATAAAATAAAAACATAAACTACCTAAATATATCACAACCTTATGAAGAATGAGTTGCATATGGAGGCCAATAAATATGAAACTCGATCTTATAAACAACAGTGATACCAGTAAGATCAACAGGTGAAGAGGTAACATATCCTTGAACAAACATGAAATCTTCTGTTCCTCCAACAATAGGATGATCCGAAGCTTTAACATTGTTTGTACCCCCCACAATAGAAACCGAACCCTTATGATCTTTCCAACGAATAGTTAGCTTCGCAATCGAAATGCTTCGAAGGCCGTCAAGACTAGAGGTGATAGAAGTACCTTCAGCAATTCCAACTAGTTTGGAGGATCTATTTGAGGTTAGAGTTAAAGGATCTTGAAACACAAATAATGTTCCAAAAGGTGTTGTTGTTTGGGTGACTCCTGCAGATTCTTGTACACCATTCACTATGATGTAACCTGTTTTGTTTATTGTCTCGTGTTGGTAAAGTGAAAAGTGAAGGGATTTTAGGTGATTGTGGTGATGATGAGAAGAGCTAGAACTGGTTTTGAATTGAATTGTGGCTAAGAGTAAGAGAGCAATAACATAGTTTTGTAATGAGGATGCCATGGTTAACTATGCTTGTTAATTGTTGTTGCAGGAATTATATGATTATAGCAAGGGAAGTTGTTGTCACATTTATAATGACATAAAAGTTGCTTTAATTTTGTCTTGGTAAACCAATTTTATTGATTGATGTGAAAGAACATTAAATGCAAATACTATATTCCAATCTGTTTTAAAATTTAAATTTTAGTCACTAAATCACTTGAAAACAAATTGGTTCTTTTAACGCACTTTATATCAAAACGTATGCCAATTAAAAAAATATTATTTAAAAAATAAATTTAAAATTATTTTGTTATTCAATTAATATATAGAAATCTTTAAAACAGTTCCGTTAGTCAAATTGATTTATTCTGTTAAATTGTGTATATGTGACAGTCTACATGACAGTATGTTATCTTGACTTTTTATTTTGTTTATTTTCAATTTATTATTATTTTTTTATTAAATATGTGAAACAGTGTAACCAGGTCCAGTTACACAGTCAAAAGGAAAATAAAAAATCTTAAAAGATAGAAACACACAGCAGTTACTTAATTCTCCTCACTTGATCGTATCTTTCTCTTCATCCCTAACCAAATTCAGCCATGGCCAACAACAAGGCTCTAAACGCCACTCAAAAATCAAACCTAACACCAAAATTGAACATAATCAACACCTCCAAACAAATAATCTGTGGCGAAAAAATAGAACAAACGCACAACAGAAGCAACAAAGCCAACAGACCATAAAAACTCCAAATCGAAGTCTCAACTCAGTTCATTTGATTTCTACAGCAAGAGATCAAATTTCTTTAACTTGAAATCAGTACCCAGACAATGATCCAAAAATGTTACATTGAAGTGAAATTTGGTGTGAAACATTTAGAAACAAGAGAGATCACAGTACATATAGCTACAAAAAAAAACACGAAGGAACGGTGAATCGACGAAGGCTCTGATGAACTCAAAGTTTCGCAGGTAAATTCACTCTGAATCAACTCTTCTTCTTTCTCCTTCTTTGAAATTTCCGTTGAGGTATGCACTATATGTTATTGTTGATCGTGGTTAGGATTTTTTTTGAAAGTTTGTTTTATCAGATAAACACTGATTGTGAATTCCTTTGAGTTGTGAAATCAATCTCTTGAAATGCAAGGTATGACTTCCTAAAATAGACTTACAACAGAATTTGTTATGGTGGGAGTTGTGTAATACATGTTTGTCCTATTGAATATCGTGTTTGTAAACTGAATTTGTTTCCTCTGCAATCATAATGGATATTATTGATTGCTTCTTCAATCAGCAACATTAGTTGGAAATTTCAACAGTTGCAATCCAAATGCAGATGTAATGAGAATTGTTAGATTTCAACAAGCCTAATTCTGGATATTGGACATCCTTACTTTGATTTAGTTGACAATTGTTAGAATTTCAAATTAATAGAATTGCAACAAAAAAAGAGAGGCTTAATACCCTTTTTAGTTCCGTATATTAACCTCGTGGTTCATTTTGGTCCTTTAACTTAAAAAAAAGGTTCATATTGGTCCCTTAACTCTTCAAAACGTTCCATATTAATCCTTTTTGTCCTATTAGCGACGAAAAAATTTAAAAAATTGTCGCTAGTTAGACAAAAAGAACTAGTATGAAACGTTTTGAAGAGTTAAGGGACCAATATGGACCTTTTTAAAGTTAAGGGACGAAAAAAAACCTCAAGGTTAAGATATGATACCAAAAAGGGTATTAAGCAAAAAAAAATTAATCTGAGTGATTATTACTTTTATGTCATGGTAATTCTTGACCAATTTTCCATATTTTTGCGGCCAGGGAGAAACAACTTGAAGAAGCGATGAGGCTTGATTCGTTGCGGAAGAAAAGAGATGAAGGCTATTAGAGTTGATATCAGGAAAAGGAGAAGGGAAAATATAGGATTAATATAATTAAATTTAAGATTATGTGCAACTTTAAAGGAATAGACTATGGTTTAATGTAATTAAATTTAAGATTAGGTTGATATCAAATGTTTTACTAATCCAAAATGCTATGAAATTGTTACAAATGCAATGTAATTGTAGTTTGATTAACTTTTCTGATTTGACCCCTTAAATATTTATAAGATTTCAATTTAATCTTTTTGATGAGTCATTACACAATTTGCATGTCACGCTGGTAAAAACTAACGTTTTCTCATTTAAACTAACGAAAGGACCAACATTGCTAACGTAACTAATATTACAGAATCAATCTATAATGATTTTTTTATTAAAGGACTAAAACAGAATTTAAAATTAACTTTATACTAATTATATCTATACATAAATACTATATATAGAACCGCATATTCAAACCGCAATCCCATTTTTTCTTGTGAATATAGCAGTCAATTTCTTTGGCCTCTCAAAACTTTATATATTTAGGTGCTTAAATAATTCCAATTTATAAAGGAATCCCACTCCTAAAACAAAATGTCTTCTACATAAAAGACCCACAAGACTCAAATAATTTCCGCAAAAAATGTTTTGTATTTTTGAAAAAAAGAAAAAGAGAATAATTTCAATGTTTCCCGATTTTATTTTTTATAATAAATGCTATAAAAATATAAAATCTCTTTTTAAAAATAAAATGATTTCATGTTGTTTAAAAAATAGTAATTATTCAAATTTCATGTTGTATAAATTTCATGTTATATAAATTTCCACTACAAGAAAATTTGTGAATTTCTTAATGCATCCTCAATACTTTTTAACCACCACGCAAAATTATTTAAATGTCTCTAGTTTTCAGAGATGTATCTTCAGACGCACCAATTTTTAAATAAACATTAAAATATTTCAGAGATGCATCTCCGAAACAATTTAAAACATTCAATACATCTCACTCCCACTCAGAAACCACTTATATTTTAATTGTACCGAAAATGCATCTCCGTGAATATTTTGGATATACATCTCCAAAACGTACCAGAACAGGTTTTTCATGCTATATATTGTTTATTTATGTTTAGATGAAGTATATCGTACAATCGGAAATAAAAAATAGACGTACATAACTTCAGATGGACCAAAAATTCCATACAAAAATAAAGTACCAATAAATGTTGAAAATATCGTACAATCAAGATCAATAAGCTAGTAAGAGCGTAAAAATTAAGCACATACCATAATACTACAACTATATAATAAGAGACTATTGTGTGTGTCTGACAACCTCTCCTCTACCTCCTTTGTCTCGTCTACCTCCTCGGCCATCAACCTCCCCTGTCATCCGACGATGTCTCCGATACAACAATGTTCCTTGTGCCTTTGTCATGATGGCATCTAGGACTCGCCAGACATTAGACCCATTAGAGAAGATACATGTGTCAATGCATGTCTGTGCAATCTCCACTATGCGACAATACCTAGGTAAGACATCATCAGTATGATCTAACTGTGCCTGCTCTTCCTCTAGTAACTTCTCATGGAACAACATGCACCATGTATGAATGTGACTCCCTAAAGAACCATTTGATGTACCCTTCGATGTAGCTCTAGTCTCTATCAACTATGGTAGCCTATGTCTCCTCCAATACCATATGACTCTCATAATTGTCAAACAAGTCCTCTATTTGTCTATGTGCCAAGGCAGAAGGAGCCGAGACAATAGAGTATCTGGGAATGATCTGAGTGTAGCCGAACTACTGCATGACACACTCGAGAAGATGAGGAACAATGAGCCACAATCTACAAGCCAAACATCCAGAGTATAACACTATCTCGTCAAATGGATGCGTCTGATGGTGATCAACATAGCTGTTGAAATACATTTTCTCAGCATCAAACGATCAGGATAGACTCTATAAGGCTCAATCGCCTGGTTCTACCTGAGCGGGGCAAAAGCATTTTCACATGGAATATCCTAAGTATACTTAGGTACACTCGCCCACCCAGAGATTTGTGGGAAGTGCTGGAGGATCCAAGCCTGAAATGATTAGTTTGGAACACACGAGTCTAATGGCTTTGCAAATATGAAATGAAAATAAAAAACATATTCAAAGACCAATAATTATTACAGTCAATAGTGTCACGCTGCATGTGACCTACTTTGTCTTTCACATACAAATCTCTCTCAACTTTGAGTACAGGTAGACCAAGTAAGTCACTCCCCAGTTATACTCATGCATCCGCTCGAGATCCATGAAGTACTGTAGGTAGACGACATCTGTATAAGTGACACTCTTGTCCATAAAAATCGCAGTACCAACTAAATAAAGCAGGTATGCTCTCAATGCATGCGATCTCTGGTGTGCCACCTGCTCATCATCACCATCAGCCTCGTGTTCCCTAAGGATCTCATTCTCATATATCGTCTTCAAGAGTTCAAATCTAGCATGAGCATCCCTGGTCTTATCCATCTCCTTCTTCGCTTCCCATTGATCATCCCTAAAATACTCTATCATCATCTCGAGTGCCTCAACTTTGGTAACTTTCCCATGATCTAGGAATCTCCCCTTGATCAAAAGATGTAGGAAACACGAGACATCATCGAGTGTGATAGACATCTCACCACGCGAGAGATGAAACAACGAGGTCTCTGAGTGTCATCTCTCCACAAACGCATTAAGCATCACGTGGTTAACCGTAGTGTTACCGATCATACACAAGTCCTTTAGGTCAGATAAGTATAGAACCGAATGAAACCAATCCTCATCCTGCTGAAGCAAGACATCAATCTTCTTCCCGTGGTTAAGAAATTTCTAAGGATCATGCTCTTAAACTTTGACAAGAATAATCAATGCTAGAAATAATCAATGTCAAAAATTAAAATTAACATAAAAATAAATAAATAATTCAACTAATGTGACCTCTTGGTCCCAAATATATTTGGCAATATGGTCTAAATACAGAGGCAATAAGGACAAATCAACTAGATCTCCTCTAAAAGCCTCTGGCTCAAGACGTGGCACTGGATCAGCAACATCATCAGTAGGAGGTGGGACTGGATCAACAATATCATTCGTAGAAGGTGGAACTAGTGAAACCTGGCGCC